TGCGCCTAGTGCCCTGGAATCGTTTCCTTCCTCCGTCCTTAGCCTACCAGGTGCCACACACGTCCCGCCCCGCCGGATCGCAAGCATGGCGACAGAAGCCGTGATGGTCGCAGAGGCGCCCGCTGGGGCATCCAACGAGGTGAAGCTCTTCGGCAAGTGGTCCTTCGCAGCGGAGGAGATCACGGTACGCGCTATAAGCTGCCCCCTGAAGGTCGCTGTCACCGTGGTCGCGCATCGAATTGCTGTCTCGGCGCCATCGCAGTATAGTCCGAGGGGATGATAGTCGTTACAGTGGTAGCGGAGCGCGTAGCTTTAGCTTCTAGTCGGTAGGCAAACCACTTCAAACCGTCGTCTCTCGTGCGGTGCCGCTGTCATCGCGTTTCTCGCACCCAGCAGCTGTGGGCGTCCGTCGTTGTTGAACAGTCAGCAGCGCGAGTGGGTCTTAGTCGACAACCGAGAGCGTCAACCCTCTGGCCGCATTTTATCGGATTCCGTTAGTGCGTCAACCCTCGAGTCCTCTCGCTGCTGCCTTGGTGCTCTGCCGTTTGTGTTTTGGCCGTGGAGGGTTGGTCATCGAGACAGTTTAAGGCGAACGAGGATCAGTGCAGAGACAGGTTCGGCAAGCACGGGTTCATTAACAAGGCAGGTTTGGCGGCGCAGCTAGTCGTCGACGAAGAGCCGTTAGGGCGTGGCGTGGATTGAAGGATGCACAGCAGCACGTGGTTCGGCGGACAGCACGCGCAGGCACAGGAAACCAACTGGGCTGCCAAGTTTACCGAACCCGACAGAGCTGCGCATTCACGTCTCTAGCCGACTTGCTTCTCCGTGCAATTGAGCCGTTGTTTGGACAATCGTAAATTAGGGTTTGTGCTGCGACTGCCGCTTGTTGCTGCATGTCAAGTGTTCGGGGCTCGTTTGCATAGTCCGCGGGATGCGAGCGTGGAGCGCGCATGAGAACGTGGTAGCGGCATCAGCGGTAGATCGAGTGTTGGACCAGCGGATCGTGGGATCTGAGCACGTGGCGTGCGTGACCATGTTTCCGCGCTACAGACGTCCATCGTGGCATTGCCGCTAGTCCTGTTCGAATGTGGGTTCAACTTGTCCTCCTCTGCGCGCCGATCCGCGCGCACCGCCTCGTGCCCACATCGCGCCCCGTTTCTCCCCTTCATTCTGCCCTTCCTGCGTCCCGTCTGTCCCGCACCCTCTCCCGTCCCGCACCCTCTCCCGTCCCGCGCCCCAATCGGCAGGTGAACGACTTGTCGCTGGCCGACTACATCGCCGTCAAGCATGCCATTACCGTGCCGCACACGGCCGGCCGTTACTCCGCCAAGCGCTTCCGCAAGGCGAACTGCCCGATTATCGAGCGGTGAGTGCGGCGCAGTGTGCGATCATCGAGCGGAGAGTGAGCGGCACCGTAGCGCAGCGTAACGAGAAGTTGTGTCACCTTCTTCTGGCCAAGCTTCACCGCCCGATTGCCTTGTCGTTCGCAGGCTCGCATAGGCCAGTCGCGGGCTGGGTGTCGTTCGACCCGCCGCCATGAGTCCTCCCTTGGCCCACACCCCGCCCTTCCAACCCGTGTCTCGGCTCAATCGCATGCACGCGCTCCATGCGCTCCATTGCATGGCGCCACCACTTGCCCTTCGTCCTTACCCTCCCCGCCTTTCGCTCTTCCTTCCTCTCTTTTCCCCCGGTCCCCCTTCCGTCTTCCCCGTCCCCCGTCCCCTTCGCCGTCCCCCTTCCCTTCCGCCGCCCGGCCCGCGTGTGTGCGTGTGCGCGCGAGCAGGTTGACGAACAGTCTGATGATGCACGGGCGCAACAACGGAAAGAAGATGATGGCGGTGCGCATCGTGCAGCACGCCATGGAGATCATCCACCTCCTCACCGACCAGAACCCCATTCAAGTCATCGTCGACGCCATCGTCAACAGGTAACAACCACCCCCCCCCTTCTTCTCACCCACCTCGCCTCACCCCATCTCACCTCGCCTCGCCTCGCCTCACCTCGCCTCACCTCACCTCATCGCGCCTCACCTCGCCTCACCTCACCGCATTTCGCCCGCTGGGCCTCTCTCTGCGCCGTACGCCTCACCATACCCTTTCCGCCTTCCCTTCCCTTTCACTCCCCTCCCCCTTGCTCCCTTCCTTCTCACTCCCCTCCTGCTTCCCTCCCTCTCACTCCCCTCCCTCTTGCCCCCCTCCCTCTTGCCCCCCTCCCTCTTGCCCCCCTCCCTCTCACTCCCCTTCCTGTTGCTCCCCTCCCCTCACTCTCACACCCCTCCCTCTTGCTTCCCTCCCTCTCACACCCCTCCCTCACTCTTCTTCCTCTTGCTCCCTTCTCTCTCACTTCCCTCCCTCGCACTACCCTCCCTCGCATTCCCATCGCTCACTCCTCTCACTCACACGCCAACCCTCTCCCCTCATAACCCCCCTTCCCCTCCTTGCGCCAACAGCGGGCCGCGCGAGGACGCGACGAGGATCGGGTCGGCGGGAGTCATTCGGCGCCAGGCCGTCGACATCTCGCCGCTGCGACGAGTCAACCAGGTATGCGCGGACCGACGAGTCAACCAGGTATGCGCGGACCGTGCGGGCGGGCGTGCGTTCAGGAGCATACGTGCGTGTCGGGCGTGTGCGCGGTTGTGCGCGTGACGGTTGTGAAGGGCGTGACGGCGTGGCCTTTTGCCCAACCGTCCATAACTGGCCTCTTTTGTGCAACCATGCGCGTGCATCAGCTCGTGTTGCAGTGCTCCCTGCCACCCCTCTTGTTGAAATTCTTCCGTCATCCCTTGTCTCGTGCATCAGGTGTTAATCTCACCTTCCCCGTCGCTTCCCCCCCAACCACCCCTCTTCCATCCACCTTCCTCCCGTTCCCCCGTTCCCCCGCGCGTAGGCCATCGCGCTGCTGACGACGGGCGCGCGCGAGGCGTCGTTCCGCAACGTGAAGACGATCGCGGAGTGCCTGGCGGACGAACTCATCAACGCCGCCAAGGGCAGCTCCAACAGGTGCGTTGTGCCGCCAAGGGCAGCTCCAACAAGTGTGTTATGGCGCCCGCCTTGGGCTTTAAGGGCAGTGACAACAGGTGAGGCGCTCGGCCGTGATTGAAGGACAGCGACAACATGCATGGTGGGCAGAAGGTGGGCAGTGGTCTACGTGTGGAGCTATGCGTGCGGTAACATGAGCCAGTGGGCACATTGTGATGGCTGGTGCCTTGCTGTATGGGGGAATCGGGAGCCGCCCTTTAGCGGCTTGGACCCACTCCTACGGTGGTGCTATGCCTTGAGCATTGTTAGCACCACATATGTACTACGTCTACATGCGGCTGTTGTTGGACCTAATTGAAGCAGCTGAGGAAGGTGTTTGAGCTTCTTCAGAGCCCCTCCCTAATGTTCTCTCTCCCAGAGTTCTTACACATTCTCTCAAAACTTTCAAAACTGTCTCTCGTCCTTGTTTTTGCCTTGCAGCTATGCCATCAAGAAGAAGGATGAGATTGAGCGTGTTGCCAAGGCCAATCGTTAAGCAATGCTGCTTGCAGTGTGCGCTGCAACTCCTCAAGCTCCCACCAGTGCTGTCTTCGCCTACATCTGCTGTGCTCCATAGTATTAAAGAGTTTCTTCAGGAACGCATAGATAAGCCATGTGAAAGCTGTGTCTGATATTGTGAATGAAAGGGGAATTCTGGTGGTCAAAACAGGGAACATGAGCTATGGACAGGCACGAAACGAGGTCACGTTAAGTACTAGACTGGATCAAGTACTTCAAGATGTATCATACCGCGTGTAGCAAGTTTGCACAGATGACGGTCGGTTTCTGACGGTTACGTTCGGGAGTTGACGTTCTGGTTGAGTATCCTTGCCTGGCTAGGATGGCCAGGAGGTATGGGAAATTAATGCATGGATGTAGGAAGGGAGGACCAATCAAGCAGCAGCAGCAGATAGAGAAACAAACAAGCGGCGCCACCATGTTGAAGGGCACATTGCATGTTGTTGACAATCTCAACACGAGGCTTGAAAATGTTAGATCATGTTACCACCGTACTGAACCTACGCAAATTGACTTTGCGAACTACAGAGATGCTTCCAACTCCCGTTGCAACAACAGCGTGTCCGCGTCAACATGCAAACACAGATCGCGTCAAACAGCAAACATAGGTTCCACTTCTTTTTCCGCGAGGCTCTTCAGGTCGTCGTTGACTAGGGTTTCAGAAGTGGAGGCTTTTCCACGACACCACTGCTCCAACATCCACGTTTCCCTGCATCCTGCAGTCAGCGTGCGGTCAGACCTGGCGAGGTGTTGTGCTGTGCGTGGTGGATCAACCCCAGAGAGGTTTTCAAAGCCGAGGCTAGGTTGCAGTGACGTTGTCGTCGTACATCTGTGGTCCGTTCGGACCTCTGGTTTGAGGTTCGGCGTACCCGTGGAAGGAATTCTTCTGGTCTGGTCGTCGCGTCTTCCCCAACGACCCTCGTCTCACCGTGGCCGAGCCACGCAGTGGCCTCGCTAGTCTCGGTGTGTCCGACCGCACCTCGACAGTCGTTGGTTTGGTCACAGCAGTCCTCGTTGCAACACATCACACAACCTGCTGCTTGGTCTAATCAGTTGCAAAAGGCTTTCTCCTCGTTCCATCTTTCTGTGTCCTGCACATTCTGCTATGCCTCGTTATCACTGGAGCATGCTATATTTCGCAGGTTTCATTTAACGAGCTGCCGTCTTAATTGTTAATACTGAAACCACTCAACGGTTAGATGAGGAGAAGCGTTGTGATTTGAGTACGCTTTACCATACGCGTATCTCCGCTTATCAGCGAAGCGCTCTTTGTCTGGTCGTGCTCGCGCCGATCCGCGCATCGGCTCGCTCGAAGGCTTCTTTCGTGAGTGCCGCTTCGGCGATCTCGTTCACACACGCCTGCGACAATGCGCCGCGTTACACAGACGACAGGGCGATTCACGCTACTTTAGATCGGTCGGGAGAAATATTAAGATCCCCATATAGACGGTGCGGGCCGCTGCGATGGCTGCAGAAGGCGATGCATCGCCGCGTCAGCCGCCAGATGTAAATGGGTCGGGACGAAACGGGTCGGAGAGGAACGGATCCGCAGAAGAGGCGCCACTCGACTCGCAGGCGTTAGAGCGGGAAGAGAAGCAAGTGTCGGGTGACAAAGGGGACACGCAAGGTTCAGGGGAAGCCGTGAAGCCAGCAGAGCGGGCAGAGCGGGAAGCAGGTGACGCTGCAGTGCGGACGGACAGTCACGGCCAGCGGCCGACGGAGGCTGGTGCTGCTGGAACTGGCGATGCGCACGCGGCTTCTGAGTCGCCCCGAAAGGCCGCTGCTGGCGATGCTCAGGCAGTAATCGAGTCGCCTCGAAAGTCCGGTAGTGCTGGCGCTGGCGCTGGTCAGGCGGTGCCTCGTGGCGGCGACACCACGGTCATTGCTGAAGCAGACGGTGCGGCGGGCGCCCAGGGGATTATCGCCGATGCTGTCATGTCGCAGGTGAGCAGCCGTCGCAGGTGAGCAGCCGTCGAAGGCGAGCAGCCGTCGCAGGTCGCCAAGCCCCCTTCGTAGCTCCCATTCTGTCCCGCTAACACTCGAAGCAGTCTTTTTTTAGTTGCCTTTGATTTTGTCAAAAGCATGCTGTGAACTTCACTGCTTCCTATTGTGCTGTAATGCAGTGTACTGCACTTTACAGCACCGTGCCGTACCGCACTGCACTGCTACCTCGCTCGCAAGTGAAGGCTGCTCCGATCCAGAATCGCATCCTGTGGGCTGCCGCATACCCCCGGTGCGCCCCCCTCTGCAACTTTCCTGCCCATTTCTCTCTGCATTTCGCCTCCCCTCCTGGCGAAATTTCCCCTCCCCTTCCCCCTCCCCCCCCCCCCGCCCCCCCCCCCCCCCCCCCCGCGGTGCCCGCCTCCCCCAGCTGGCGGACATGCGGGGCATGATAGCGCGTCTCAGCCGCGAGAACGAGTCTCTGCGCGCCATAGTGGCGCTACAGCTCTCCCCGCATGGGGGAAACGGCGCCTCCGCGCATGGGGAGAACGCCCCCTCCGCGCATGGGGGGAACGGCCCCTCCGCGCATGGGGGGAACGGCCCTTCCGCTCATGACAAGAACGCCCCCGTTGCGAGACAAGAGAATGCGGGAAAAGAGGGAGCAGGTGGCGAACACAGCGGGCGTGCAACGGCGGTTGCGGGTGGAGGGGAGGGCGAGAGGGCAGGGGGTGGCGGAACGAGCACAGATAAAAACGCAGCAATGGCAGCGGCGGGGGCGGTGGGGTTGAGTGGAGACGTGCTGACGCGGATGATGGGCGCAGGTGCAGGGGGGGCGGGCGAGGAGGGCGCGGAGTGGGTGCGCGCACAGCAGATGCAGATGCTGGCGCTGCTGCCCTACCACGCCGCTGCTGCCCAGGTGAGCGCCGGCACAGAGGGTGGGGGGGGCGAGGGAGAGGTGGGATGGGAGGGATGGGCGACGGGGAGGTGATGGGGAGGTGATGGTGAGGTGACGGGGAGGTGATGGGGAGGTGATGGGGAGGTGATGGGGAGGTGATGGGGAAGTGTTGTGGGAGTTGTGGTTTCTGAGCAGAGCACGGCCTTTCACACCGCCTCCCTCCGCGCTTTCGCCCCCATCATCGTGCTGCTGCCCGTCGCCCCTTTCCTTCCTCCCCCGTCTTGCACAACGCAAACACCGCTGCCCTCCCCTCTTCCCTCCCACCCCCCATCAGGCCATGTCGCGCTGGTCCGTCCTCTTCCCCGCCCTCCCCAACCCCTTCCCCTTCCCCTCCTTCCCCACTGCGCCACCCTCCTCCTCCGCCACACCACCTGCCGCGCCCATGATGCCTCCACCCTCCCCGCCCCACCCCCACGCGCCCACCGGGCCTGACAGGGGCAGCAAAGTGGGGAGGCCCGCCTCCCCCTTGCTGCCAGCGCGCTCCCACACCCCCCCTGCGCCCATGCGCGCGCAGCCCCGCCCGTCCGCCCACACGGCCAGCCACAGGGGGTCGCTCTCCCCCCCCGACTCCGCCTCCCAGCAGCGCTGCAGCGTGGGCCGTCCGATCCGATCTGTGGGAATGGACCGCAGTGATTCAACGAGCGAGAGGGTGGATGAGGGGCAGCAGCAACGGCGGCACCGGCGGCGGCGGCGGGGAGGGGACGGGGAAGGGGAAGGGGAAGCGGAGCAGAGAGGCGGGGGAGAGAGGGAGGTGAGGGACGGAAAGAGGGAAGGGGAGCTGGTAAGTGGGATGGGCAAGGGTAGTGAAGGCGGGGGCGGGGCAGGCAGGGTGGGGGCGAGCAGGATGGTTGGCAGTGCTGCAGTGGATGGGCAGGGGGGTGGGCGGGGGGGAGAAGGAAGTGAGGAGGATAATCGGGATGAGTGTGCTGTGGAGTCGCGCGTGCTTGGTGCCGAGGGCAGCGCGGACGGATGGGCGGAGCACGGTGAGGGAGTGGGTAGCAGGAGGAGGGGCAGTGGGAAGGACGAGGAGGACGGCGATTTGGAAATGGAGGAGGCTGGGCTGGCAAGAGTGATGGTTGAGCAGATGGGGATGGGAAGAGGAGAGAAGGAGGAGGAGGGCGAGAGTGAGCAGAGCATGGGGGGTGAGAGGGCGTGCAAGAGGCAGCGAGGGGAGGAGAGTACAGGAGGCGAGGAGTGTGTGCGTGGTGTGGCGAGTGGGGGTGGTGTGGCGAGTGGGGATGGTGTGGCGAGTGGGGGTGGAGTGGCAGGTGCCATGGAGGTGAGTGAAGGGGGCAGAGAGCACGCGCGAGATGGGGGGCGGCAGAAGGAGCAGGAGATGGTGGGGGGAGGGGAGAGAGCAGAGGAGGCAGGCAGCCAGGGGGGCGGAGAGGGCGGCAGCAGCACTGCTGGTTTTGGTGGTGGAAACCGTGCCCTGCCAAGAAGCCGCTTCTGCTGTCCCGCCGCTCCAACCCCTCTGAAGTGCGATGATGGCAGGGCAGGAGCAGAGGAGGGCAAGAGGGGGGCACAGGAGGAAGTGAAGGGGGAGGGCGGGCACAGCAGAGATGGTGCAGAGGGTGTGGAGCGAGGGGTGGTGGCCCGTGGTGCTGGTGAGTCCAGGGGAAGCCGTGAGCACAGCTCTGGCCCTGCCTCCCCGCCTGCTGCTCTCCCGCCTTCTGCCGCTCCTCCTCCTCCTCCTCCTCCTCCTCCTCCTCCTCCTCCTCCTCCTCCTCCTCCTCCTCCTCCTCCTCCTCCTCCTCCTCCTCCTCCCACTGCTGCTTCTGCTGCAGCTGCGTTGCCTGCATGCCATGGTGACGAGCTGGGATCGGGACAGCAAGGTGTGGGAGAGCGGGTGAGCGATGCACAGCAAGGTGCTGAACCGCAGGAGGGGGTGATGCAGGTCCAGCAGGGTGCAGGAGGGGGAGAGACAGCGAGGCCGGCAGGCAGCACAGGAGGAGTGGCAAAGGACGAGCAGGCAGCAGCAGCAGCAGCAGCAGCAGGTGCAGTTGAAGCAGCAGGTGCAGTTGAAGCAGGGAAGCAGGTGCAAGCAGGGCAAGGGGAGGAGCAGCAGCAAGGGATGCAAGCACAAGGGATGCAAGCACAAGGGATGCAAGCACAAGGGATGCAAGCACAAGGGATGCAAGCACAAGGGATGCAAGCACAAGGGATGCAAGCACAAGGGGCGCCTGTGGTTGAACGAGCGGTGGTGCTGTTCCAGCATGAGCCACAGGCCGATGAGCCTCATGCCCCTCCGCCTGCACTGGCCCTTCAGCTGCAGCCGCAGATTGTATTGCACCCGCAGCAGCAGCAGCAGCAGCAGCAGCAGCAGCAGCAGAAGCAGCAGCAGGAGGAGCAACAGCAACAGCAGCAGCAACAACAGCAGCAGATTGTGCAGCAGCAACAGCAGCAGATAGGGCAGCAGCAACAGCAGCAGATTGTGCAGCAGCAGCAACAGCAGCAGATTGTGCAGCAGCAACAGCAGCAGCAATTGCAGCAACAGCAGCAACAACAGCAAGAGCAGCAACAGGTGGCATGGCAGCAGCAGCAGCAAGCCCTTCGCTTCATCCCCACGCATCTGCCCATCCTGCCCGACACTGCAGCCGCCCGCAAGGCTGCCCGCGTCGCCATCCGCGCTCGCTGTGATGCCGCCACCGTGCGTTTCCTCCCCGCCTCTCTTTCCCCTCCTCTCCCCCCTCCTCCCTCCTCTCTCCTCCTCTCTGCTACTCTCCTCTCCTCTCCTCTCTGCTCCTCTCCTCTCCTCTCCTCTCCTCTCCTCTCCTCTCCTCTCCTCTCCTCTCCTCTCCTTTCGTCTCCTCTCCTCACTTCTCCTCTCTTCTCTCCTCTCCTCTCCTCTCCTCTCCTCTCCTCTCCTCTCCTCTCCTCTCCTCTCCTCTCCTCTCCTCTCCTCTCCTCTCCTCTCTGCTCCTCTCCTCTCCTCTCCACTCCTCTCCTCTCCTCTCCTCTCCTCCTCTCATCTCCTCTCCTCCCCTCTCCTTCTCTCTCCCCTCGCCTCGTCTCCTCTCCTCCCCTCTCCTCTCTCCCTTCGCCCCGTCTCCACTCCTCTCCATTCCTCTCCTCTCCTCTGTTTTCAACCCATCCCCTTGCTGTCGTGTCCGATCCTCCACTTTTCCTGCAACATCGCCCCACCGCCTCGCCACTCCCCCCTCCCCCCCCTCACTCCCCCCTGCAGCTGTCCGACGGCGGGCAGTGGCGCAAGTACGGGCAGAAGGTATCAAAGGGCAACCCGTGTCCGCGTGCCTACTACCGCTGCACGGCGGCGCCCGCGTGCCCGGTACGCAAGCAGGTGCAGCGCTGTGCGGACGACATGGCGTTCCTCATAGTGACCTACGAGGGCACGCACTCGCACGCCCTCGCCCCGCACGCCACGGCCATGGCCATGCTCACCTCCTCCGCCTCCCTTGTGTCCTCTGCTGGCGCTCATGCCCCCCTCGCCTCGCCCTCGCTCTTCGCCCCCTCCTCTGCCTCCTCCCCCGCTGCCTTCCCTGCCCACCACTCGTTCCCTCCACCACCGTCGCTGATGGGAGCAGCAGGTGGGGCCGGAACACCAGGCAGCTCCACTCTCCACACACCCACTGCTGCAGCTGCAGCGGCTGCATTCCCCATGGACCCGTCTCTGCTGGCGTCACCGCTTGCCACGCCCACTCTGGCCGGCACGCCCTCGTCGCCCTTTGTGACGGCCACGGCTGCCCTGCCCACCGTCACACTTGACCTCTCCACCTTCCCCCCCCACCAGCTGGCCCAGCTAGGCCTGGGGGTGATTGCAGGAGGGGGGGGCGCAGGGGGCGGGATGTCTGGGGGAATGAGCAATCCTGCGCCTGGCACTGCTGGTGGTGCTGCTCTCAGTGGCTCGTCTGCACCACCGCTTGCTCCGCCATCCCCCTCCGCCCAGCCTCCTGTGCTGACTGCACCACCAGTTGCAGCAGCAGCAGCCGCACCACCCATGCACCCACCAGCACTGCCATTCACAGCAGCAGCACACACGCCCTCAGGTGCAGCTGCTCCCACACCTGCCACCACCCCAAGTAACGCCGCCACCACCCCCACCGGCGCCCCCTGGTGGTGGCCTGGCGCCCCTGCCCCCTCCCCTTCCTCCGCCCCGCGTCCCCCCAATGCCCCTCTTGCTGCTCCCTCACCGCCCGCTGCCGCCCCCGCGGGCGCGTGCGGTGCTGCGCCGTCGTCTGCAGCGTCCACGCCATCGCCCATCCACGGCCTGCTGCTCCCCACCCCCCTCCCTGCCTCTGCCGCCACTCCCCCTGCATCCACCGCTGCACTCTTCTCCCCGCCCCTGGCTGCTGCTGCTGCTACTCCTCTTGCGCTCCCACCCACCCCGCCCTCTGCCGCTTACCCTGCCTCAAGTGGGTTGGCAGCAGCAGCGGATGAGGCGCCTCCCCTCATCCACATTCCCAGGCGCCGCGTGGTTGGCCACTTCACTCCCGAACGCCCTGCTGCTGCCGCCGCTGCTGCTGCTGGAGGTAGTGGTGCTCCCGCCACCGCTGCTTCTGCTGCCACCCCTGCTGCTGTCACGCCTGCTGCTGCAGCAAGCGCATCTCAAGTGGAAGCAGCATCAGCATCAGCAGGGGCAGCCGCACCCCCAGCAGCAGCGGCAGCGGGCATGGAGGCGGCGCTGGCATCACCGGCGGTGCACAGCCGGTTGGTGGCGGAGACAGCGGAGAAGATCACGAGCGACCCCGCCTTCAAGACCGCCCTCGCCACCTACATCGCCTCGCTGCTCTCCACCCAGCTCTCCGCTGCCGCTGCTGCCGGCCCCACCCCCGCCACCACCCCCACTGCTGCTGCCCCTGCTCCTCCCGCTGCCTATGCGCCCCTGGGTGCTGACAGCAGTGCGGGAGCGGGCACACCAGTGGCAGGCGGCGGTGCATCCGTGCAGCAGCAGCAGTCACACCAGCAGCACTCCATGTTTCTCTCCTCGCCCTCGTTTGCCTCCTCGCTCTTTTCCGTCCTCCCTCCCGCCACTGCTGCTGCACATGCCCCTGCCGCCTGGGCCTTCACCCCAACAGCCTCCCACTCAGGCACTGCACCAGCAGCAGCAACATCCCATACAGTCATGCCAGGCGTTGCAAATCCGACTCAAGCGATGCCGCCAGCACAGCACCAAGGTGCTGCAGCGCTGGACCAAGTGGCGGCTCCCAGCGGACTGCTGCTGTCGCCAGGCGCCTCTGCATCGCTGCTGCCCTCCCCCCTCGCCGCTCCCACGACCCCAGCGCCATCCCCCCTTGGCTTCTCGCACCTCTTTCAACCGGCCTCCACCACTCCTCTCGACCTCTTCCCACAGGTACCACTTGCTTGCATCCCCTTAAAGCCCCTCCTGCCAACCTACTTGAGCCATTCGATTCCTTGTCACAGCTCTTGTTCCGGCACTATCCACCAAATCTTCACCTTCCCCCCCAAGAGTTCACTTCACGCATACACTGAACCGCTGCAACCCGGTTACACCATTTTCAGTTGCTTGCACTGATTCTCGGGAGCTGTGGTGTTGTTGCACATGCCCCATCGTGCTCCTTGTGTCGCCAGGTGGCTGCTGGGAAGGATTCGTCAAGCTCGCCCAGCTTTCACTCCAACACAAACCGATCCTGTTGACACTTGAAGTAGATCCATCCACCTGTCAGGGTGGCTTGGTAGACAGCAGAACCGTATTCTAGTACGGTAAGATGCTTTTGGGTATGTTAGAGGGTCTGCGTTATTCACGGCGCATCTTTAACATACCGTAATACCCCGGATAGTAGCGCATATGCGCTTATAATAAATTCATTTTTTTTTAGGGGGGGCGCTTGTAACTGAGTAACGGCCGTAAGCGCCGGCGCTTTTAGAAAGGCAAAACTGAATTTCAATGTAAAGGATATCATTATGAAGCCCTCAATAAGGCTAATACAACACTGTACCATGCGCGCTGGGTCGTGCATGGAATGACAGCGAAACTTGCCACGGTTCGATTTCCCACCGCACAAAACCCGTTCCGGTGCAACGCACCTGCCAGCGCTGACGCAAAACCTGCCGTGCGGCCCAATCAGGTTGGCATGCGCTGCCAGGCAGGAGCATCTCGGCAGAACCATCCAGAACGTGATGGAATCTGCCGTGCCAGCGCAGCATGGATGGTGCCCCCAACCCTCCTCTGCGGGTTGGGGCAGAGGTGTACTCGTCTCTCATCGACGAGGACCCCGAGCCGCAAACCAGAAGGGGTCCCCTTGAATCTCCCATTTCAACACCCAGGGTTGCAGTTTTTTATTCAGTCTTCTTGTTCTCGCCCGCCTGGCTGCGGAAGCCATGGCGGAATTCACAGACACTCATTTTCTCTTCAAGAAAAAACCTTACAGTAGGCCCGCGTACCGTGTTACTGCTGACGGGTGTGAGAATCATGAGAGGAATGAATGAACTAGAAAGGAGATGGGTACAAGTAGAGAACACAAAAGTGTTGTACCCTCTAAGAACTACCCCACTACAGCCTAAACAGACTATAGCAGATATAAGTTTGACACACCCCCATAGGCAAAGTGGGGGAGAACAAGAGGTCACAAGACCAGTCAAGAAAGACAAAGCAAGCTCAGGGTGGATCACAAAGTCACCACGCAGTCTGAGCACAAGCAAATGGCCACAAGGCCAGTTCACATGCAGAGTTATATATAAAGGAGAACAAACAATACAGTGAATACAACATAGCAAGTGTAAGCATACAGGTATATGTATAAAGAGTACAGTACAGGCAGAGTCAAGAAGAAAGCAAGTGAGGCAACAGTAGGTACAAGGCCTAACACAGTACAGAAACGCTGATGATCACAAGGCTGAAGTGCCTCGGTGAAAACATCAGCAGTGTTAGCCTTAGAGGCCACGTAAGCAAGACGAAGCTGGCCACGCTGCTGCAACTCTCGAGCAAGGAAGTAGCGCAGAGCAATGTGCTTCGTTCTGTGCTCCAGTCTGTGCTCCTGACACAAGGCCAGCATGGCCTTGTTGTCGACGTACAGAACTGGAGGAGAACGAGGCGCCTCTCCCAAGTCGGTCAGCAGGTAGGTGAGCCAGCGTAGCTCCTGTGCAGCCATAGCCCCAGCGTAGATCTCAGCCTCACAACTGGAGCTGAGAACAGAAGAAGAGCGGGTAGACCGCCAAGAGACAGAACCGGAACCAAGACTGAAGGTGTAACCCTGTGACGACCGCTGCGTAGCCAAGTCGTCAACCCAGGAGGCGTCAACGTGACCAGTGAGGACAACTCGAGCCCGTCCTCCAAGCACGAGCCCCATGCCCGATGTACTGCACAAGTATCGCAACACCCTCTTTGCAGCATCCCAGTGCACCTTTCGGTGCCTGCCGGGAGCCACGTAGCGAGCCAGAAGGCTGAGAGGGTATGCGAGGTCAGGTCGTGTGCAAGTCATCAGGTACATGAGGCAGCCCACAAGCTCTGGATACGGGCCACTCGGCTCTACGGACTCGTCCGAAGGTGGAGCTGAGAGCGAGTGACCGGTAGGCAGAGGAGTGGACTGTGGCGAGGAGTAGGTGAAGCCGAAGCGCTGAAGGACCTGCTGCACCATGTGTGACTGAGTCAAGGTAATGGTGCGCTGTGCTCTGTCCCGGGTGATCCGCAAGCCAAGATAGCTTGTGAGCTCACCCAGGTCTGTGCACGTGTGTCTCTTCTGTAGTTCGGACTTCACGTGGGCGAGTGCCTCAGTGTCAGCAGTAGCAAAGACAAGGCCGTCTACGTACACGAGAATGTAGAACGGCGGCAGCGTAGTGTCAGTGCGTAAAAACAGAGAAGGGTCAGAAGTGGAAGGAGCAAAACCAAGAGCAGCAAGGGTCGTCCTAAGTGTGTCGTGCCACTCACGGGGTGCCTGGCGGAGACCGTAGACTGGCCGCCGGAGGCTCCACTGGGTACCAGCAGGAAACGACCCAGTGAAACCAGGTGGGCGGCGCAGCCAGATCTCCTCGTGCAGGCTGCCCTAGAGGAAGGCTGTGCTGGAGTCAAGCGAGTGGAGCTCGTAGTCACGCTGAGCAGCTACGTGCAGCAGTACCCGAAGAGTGGTCATCTTCGGGGTAGGGGAGAAGGTATGAAAGAAGTCAACTCCCTGTCGCTGACTCAAACCACGTGCAACGTAGCGCGCCTTGAAGGCAGGCGGAGAACCCGGCGGCCGCTTCACCCTGAAGATCCACATGCCACTGACGATGTTCGCCCCAGGTGGGGGAACCTCGTCTACGTAAGTGCCAGTGGACTTCCAGGAAGCCATCTCAGCGTCCATGGCTGCCTGCCACTGAGAGGAGTAGGGACCCTCTATCGCCTTTGCGTAAGAGCGCGGGGTCGGGATGTCTGGTGCATCCGGGTCTCCCTCAGGGGCAATCAGCATGGACACGAGATGAGGTACAGAAGCAGCAAAGCACTCAAACTCCTCCTGTCTGTCCTCAAGAACGTCCGTGCCAAGAGCACACTCACCCCCGACGGACGGAGGACAGACAGACGCAGACTCAGTAACAAGACTGGCGGCGTAGTCTAGACGACAGTGAGCAGCAAAGTCGACAAGCTCAGTAACTAAGGCAGACGCAACAGTGGACTCAAACAAAGGGTCAGTGACAGCAGTGGCCAGAAAGCGCGTGACAGCTGGACTAGCAGCACGTAGGGAGTCAGACGCAGGGTCCGGACCAGCAGGAAGAGAGGACGCAGGAGGAGACGGCAAAGGGACACGCTGCGGAGCAGTGGAAGGACGTAGAGTCATAGAGTGAGTGCCAGGGACAGGAGGAGGACGCGGACGCGAAACACGACCAGTGCGAACAGGACGGACAGGCGACGCAGAACGAGACTCAGGCAACACAGGACGAGACTCAGGCTCACGACGCTCCGTAAGACCTCTAGTCGGTCCAGAGTAAGGAGAGGGACCAGGCAGAGGAGAGGCCGGCTGGAACCGCGACTGGGACTGGACAGGCGGTGGACTCAGTAAAGGAGGAGGAGGAGGACCAGGAGAAGGCGGAGAGCCAAGAACCTGCTGAAGAAGCGGAACGTAGTACGGCCGCGGCCGCGCAGCACCTCCAGAAACAGCAGAGACAGAACCCTCAGCCCCAGGGTCTCTAGTCCCAGTAGCACCTCCAGCAGCTCCAGCACCAGCAGCACCTCCAGTAGCTCCAGCACCAAGAGCACCTCCAGCAGCTCCAGCACCAACAGCACCACCAGCAGCTCCAGCACCACCAGCAGCTCCAGCACCAGCAGCACCTCCAGTACCTCCAGCACCAGTAGCACCTCCAGCAGCTCCAGCACCAGCAGCACCACCAGCAGCTCCAGCACCACCAGCAGCTCCAGCACCAGCAGCACCTCCAGTAGCTCCAGCACCAGCAGCACCTCCAGCAGCTCCAGCACCAGCAGCACCAGCAGCAGCTCCAGCACCACCAGCAGCTCCAGCACCAGCAGCACCTCCAGTAGCTCCAGCACCAGCAGCACCTCCAGCAGCTCCAGCACCAGCAGCACCTACAGTAGCTCCGGCACCAGCAGCACCTCCAGCAGCTCCAGCACCAGCAGTACCTCCAGCAGCTCCAGCACCAGTAGCACCTCCAGCAGCACCAGCAGCAGCAGCACCCCGACAGCGCCGAGAGTACCACTCACGAAGCTGCTGAGGAGAGAGAGGCTCCCGTCGCAAAGGGACACCTAGAGCACCTCCAGACGCAGCACGTGCAGGCGCAACACTCCCAGGCTCAGCACCCCCAGGCTCAGCACTCCCAGACTCAGCACCCCCAGACTCAGCACCCCCAGGCTCAACACGCTCAGGCTCAGCACCCCCAGGCTCCACACGCTCAGACTCAGCACCCCCAGGCCCCGCACCCACAGGCTCAGCACCCCTAGTAGCACCTGAGTCCACAGCTACCTCGACCGGCTCGGCAGGGTCTACCTGGGACACACCTGAGGGGGCAGGACCCTGGGGGGGGAGGGGGTCTACCGGGGGAGTACCTGGTGCGAGGAAGAGCGGCGGGGGGGGGGGGGGAGAGGCAGTGCGGTAGGGCAGAGACGGTAGTACGACACCGACTCGTCAAACGTGACACCCTGAGAGGACAGAACACGACGCAAGGCGGGGTGGTAGAACTGCCACCCGGGTGCGTCAGGAGGGAAGCCAAGGAAGACACAGGGAACGGCACGGGAGGACAGCTTGTCCGCTGTAGTATCGCGGACAAAAGCTCGAGATCCCTAGACACGGAACGCGGACGCATCGCCAACCTTCCCCGTCCACCGCAGAGTAGGTGTGGTCTCCGGCAAGGAGACATGAGGCTGAAGGTTGATCTGATGCGCAGCGTACTGAACCGCGAACGGCCACAGAAAATGGGGAGCAGCCGCATGGATCATGGACGTACGAGCGACGTCCATGACCATGCCAATGCGGCGCTCAGCAATCCCATTTTGCTGCGGGGAGGCCGGAAGTGTGAACGTCTGGCGGATGCCCTCCGAACGACAGAAGGCCCTCAGGAGGTCGGAGGAAAACTCCTCACCTCTGTCTGAGT